CACACCTGTGAGACACGCCCAACACCACCTCACATCCGTGAGACACGCTCAGCATCCACAGACACACAGCCGGTCTGGCCACACCTGTGAGACACGCCCAACACCTCACACCTGTGAGACACACCCAACACCTCACATCCGTGAGACACGCTCAGCATCCACGAGACACACTCCCAGGTGGCTCTGCCCTGTTATTACATCCTGACACCTAGCCTAAGGAAATAGTCTGAAATGGGAGAGATTTGTGTGCAACAAAATTTCATAATGAAAAACTGGAAGCAACCTAAAAACACAATGATAATGGAATGGTTCTGGGGTGAGATTTGTTTAAAAACAAACCTGAAGATGAATTCCACATGAGTCTCTGGTGTCACAAATCCAGCTCTAATGGTTTCCCCTCCGACTTCCTTCCTCCTGCGCTCTCTCCTCTAGGAAGCTGCACTGTACCCGGAACTACATCCACCTGAACCTGTTCCTCTCCTTCATCCTGAGAGCCATCTCGGTGCTGGTGAAGGACAGTATCCTCTACTCCAGCTCCGGCACATGGCACTGTCCTGACCAGCCGTCCTCCTGGGTATGGCTGGCTTCGGAAGCTGGGTCTTTGGGGGCACGGATAGAATGGGGAACAAAACCCACCGGTGAGTCCTGACCAGACCGAGCAGAGCCAGGTCAGAGGGCCACGCAGAGGCCAGAGGCCCAGCCCACCCCCTGCAGCTGGGCCATCAAAGGGCCCTGAGCTGTGACCCCAGCAGACCTGGACAGAGAGTAGCAGTTCCCAGGGAAATCCTGACGTAGACAAATGCACATTTGGTCTAAATCATCCAGCTTCAATGCTACCGGAGGAAATCGGTCTGTCCTGCGACTAAATCCCATGCAGACTGGCCTGGATGCGCAGCCATGCATGCATGGTTCAGGCGCTTGGTACCAGGCGGGGAGGTGGCCTCCTGCGCTGTCCTTGCGTGGCTCTGTGTGTGGTGGTGACCACTGGGTGCTTAGTACCCGGTCAGGCAGACTCGCTCAGCACAGTCACTGAGTCCCTCCTGATGCGATTGTTCCCAAGGGTTTGATGATGCCCAGCACTGCACATATGGGACAGTAGTGTAGCTCTCTTGGTCTGAGGCCGAGTCCAGGACTCAGCCTGTGCCTCCCACATGCCGGGAGCCCAGCCCCCGGGCTTGGGAAGCCCTGTCCTGCCTGTCTGAGCGGGAGCTGGGGCAGATAACGGGACCTGACGGCCCCAAGCCTGCAGAGTCATGGACAACTAAAGACAGCTTTGCCTGCCAACGCGGGTGACTGGGCGGCAAGCCCAGAGCATGTCATAATGATCATGCTGTGGAGGGCTCTGAGGAAGGGCAGAGAGAACCGTGAGCAAACATCAAAAAATGTGCCTGTGCATGCCCTGTGCATGACAACGCAAAGCCCTGTGCACATGTGGAACACACGGGAACTCACACCCACACATGCACGGACACTCACACAGACGGTCCTAGGCAGGACCAGGTCTCCAGGCACAGTTGCTGACTGGCCACACCTGCTCCGCATTGTGTGGGACAGGATGGGAGGTGGATGCTGTGGACCGCAAGGTCAGGAGAAGGTCCAGGGCTCGCAGACCTCCATCCTCATGGACAGTGAGCTCAGGAGAGG